GGATTTTGCAGTATCCTTCCCCAGGAGTGGGGAGGAAATGGGGATTTTGCAGTATCCTTCCCCAGGAGTGGGAAGGGAATGGAGATTTTGCAGTACCCTTCCTCAGGAGTGGGGAGGAAATGGGGATTTTGCAGTATCCTTCCCCAGGAGTGGGAAGGGAATGGAGATTTTGCAGTACCCTTCCTCAGGAGTGGGGAGGAAATGGGGATTTTGCAGTATCCTTCCCCAGGAGTGGGAAGAGAATGGGGATTTTGCAGTATCCTTCCCCTGCCACAGAACCGTTAGTAAAAAAAAAAAATTGAATGTTACCACTGCTCTGAGGGTGTTTTTTTCCCCCTTGCCAAATCTTGAAAAGGCAGGGGAGGACTGTGAAAGCCACCCTCCCATTTTGGCTGCGTTTAGACAACCCGGTGAACCAAAACCGGCAGCCAGGTTCACCCCAAATGCTAAATTTGGATAGTTTTTTTTAAAATCTCTTGTAACCGAACTGTGCACATCCACTTCATTGGATAAATTTTCCATCCATTGTTGCAAGAGCAGAAAAGTCAGTGGCCACATCTCTCTTAGGGGGACCTGCGGGCAATTGGCGTATTTGCTCCAACTGAGAACATCTGACCTTTCTTTGGGCAAATCTAACAAGACAGACATCAACGCTTACACAACCATGTTCACATATTTCCGTGTTTTTGTTTTGCTTTTTTTTAAAAAAAGGGGGGGGGAGGGAACTGTCATTTCTAGGTGAAGCAGCCTCTCACCATACGCAGGTAGTTCATCAGGCTGGTCCCGTGTTGCCAGATGTTTGCTGATGTGCAAGCCAGGGGCTTCACCCCAATCTCCTGGCTACGGTTCAATTCCCGCACAGCGCTCACGACCACGTGTACTGCGTCAAACATGAGGGCTGCTGATAGCTGGAGGGGAACAAAAATAATTCAGCTGCTGCTAATTATGGCATTTGGTGGGGAGGGGGGGACGGGCACAGACAGGGGCACCTCCTTGCCACCCTGTTCTTCCAGAGCTATTCTTCCTTTGGCTACCACGCTAAAACATCGGTGCAGCTGCAGAACGGGAGGCGGGTTGGGTGAGTCAGATAGTGAGCGTGGATGTGCTCCACCAGGATGAAGTCAACCTGATCTTGAACAATCTCTACAAGTCAACAGTGGAGGAGTGTTAATCCTGAAGCTCAGCTGGACAGAAATAATTTTAGTTAGAAGCAGTTAGGAGACTCTGCAGTTAAGAATCCAGGTCTTCTTGGATGACTTCAGCTGTGTTCTTCAAGCCAACATCCTTTGTTCGTCACCTCAATAATCCATCCTTCTCAGCCCAACATCCTTCATTCCTCAAGCTGACAATCCATTCTTCCTCAACGCAACACCATTTGTTCCTCAACCCTCCCAAATCCATCCTCCTTCAACCCAAAATCCTTTGTTTCTCAACTCAACAATCCACCCTTCCTCAACCCAACATCCTTCCTGCAGATGTTGTATTGAAGACAGCTGAAGTCCACCAAGAAACATAGATTCCTAACTTCACTTGTCTTCAACCCAACATTCTTCAGATGTTAAAACTGCCAGACAATTTCGAACTAAGAATTTCTGCAAATGTCAAAAAATGAACACCTATCAAATATATCTCTTCCAATGAATATCCAGGCAAATAAACCCTTGCTTATTTACAATGTCATATTAATTTCCATCTTCAAGAAAGCAGTCATGGCTTTAGTGGTTAAGAAGAGTTGCATCCCCTTCTCTTCCCTTTAATGAACTTCAAATTATGACATACGATGGACTGAGCAAAACTGACTCAAACTTCAGATCAAGGCAAGCCAGAGGTGATTTTTTTACAGGCATTTTAATTGCCTGCCAAGTTTATTTAATAATATTAGAGGCTCAGTTGATTTCAGTATACTAAGAAACTGAAAACAGAGTTAGTGAAGGTTGGGGCTTACAATCCTCTTGCCTTTGGGTGGAATTGACATTAGGTTAGAAGAATGGGTTCTGGTTGCCAGCAAAGGACAACAGTTGATAGACTCATCCCCGATCTGCAGACATTCCATTCTAAAGCAACTGAAGGTCACAATTCTCCAAAGAGAAGGATGATGGGTGTTCATTTGCCCACAAATACGTAGGGGTCTCCAAACTTGGCAATTTTTAAGACTTGTGGACTTCAACTCCCAGAATTCCTCAACTGGCTGCTGAAGCCGAGGAAGTTGAAGATCCCAAGTCTTCAAAGTTGCCAAGTTTGGAGACCCCTGATGTAGAGGAACCCAGAAAGACTATTACTGTATGACACTGTGATGGCTATTCTGTAGCTCCATTTGTAAGAAGAGATGCATGCACTTTTTCAAATCCCGTGGTCCTTATTCGGCTAGATCAGGGGTGTCAAACTCCATTTCATTGAGGGCCACATCACGGTTGGGTTTGACTTTGGGGGATGGGTGGGTGTGGTCAGGGTGGGCGTGGCCAGCTTGACGTCACTCATGTTGGTGGTGACTGTGGTGGCCCGAGCACTTTGCCAGCAAAAACGGAGGTCGGGAGGACCACACACAGCCCTCCCGAGCTCCGTTTTCGTTGGCAGAAGCACTGTGAGCTGGTCCTTCACTGTTTCCAGGGCAGCTCTGTGGGCCAGATCTAAGCATCCCGCGGGCCGGATCTGGCTCGCGGGCCTTGAGTTTCACATCCCTGAGCTAGACAATCCTTCACACAAGTGCACCTGTATGGTCATCTCTCCTTCCTGGGATGTCACACTTACCGCCGGTCCTGGGTAAGGATTGAGTTCACAGTTCTCTCGCCATGACATGTTGAGGCTACGGACAAATTCCATGTAGAAAGGGTGGCTGGTGTTAAACATGGAGAAGCCCAGGACATTGGAATGTTCGTCCACAATTCCATCCAAGTGCAAGATTGGGAAGTCCTGGAAAGATGGTGAACAATATTAGTGGACTGAACTTCCTCTTTAACATACATTCAAAAAGGTCGACTGAGGTCAACCTGGGAAAAGGCTACAGAAGAGAGACGGCCAAGGAACAGGAAGGAGAAACACGGACTGAAACCTAGAGATCAACAGCAGAAAGTTCAAAACATTGTTAAAAGATCCATCTCATCCTGAGCACCCTTTTTTTATTTTTTATTTTTGAACTATTACCCTCTGGCAGCCGGTACAGGACAATAAAAACAAGGACAAAGAGGCTGAAAAACTGCTTCTATCCCAGGGCAGTAACTATATATTGAATTCTATTGTATAGTGCAATATTAATGCAATCTCAAGTGTTTTCAATTATATAGCATGAGAAGGAGGTGTGTTTGTGTTTTTTTTAATGTATAATGTACACTGGAGATGGCATTTAATTTTGTTGTACAAGGTGCAATGACAGTAAACTAAACTAAACTAAATGATGTCATTCCAGGTAATCCTCAACTTACAACCTTTTGTTTAGTTACTGTTCAAAGTCACAACACTGAAAAAAAGTGGCTTAGGACAAGACCTCGCACTTATGACCATCCCCACGGTTACGCGATCCAAATTCGGGTGCTTGGCAACTGGCATGGATTTACAACAATTGCAGCCACCGGTTACATATGATTGCCCCCTTGTGACTTTCCCGGCTGGTTTTTGACAAGCAAAAATCAAAGCGGGAAGTCAGACTCGCTTAACGACCGCATGCTTTGCTCAACAACCGTGGCAAAAAAATTTCAAAATTGGGCTTGACTCTCTTCCCAAGGGCCTTGTCTGAACCACGGAAATCCTGGTCCCCATGTGGTTGCCAGTGAAGGATCACCGGTATGTTTATTTCACGATTCCTGATTCGTTGCAGTGGTTCGCACCACTCCGGGAGAACCGGTTGTTAACTTTCTGAGCGGTTTGGTGAACTGATCATTGGAAGAAATCATTAGGGCAGAGAACCAGTTGTTCAATTATTTGAATCCCACCACTGCCGGTTGTTAACTTTCTAAGCAGTTCAGAGAACNAGAATAGTACATAAAATGGATAACGAATAAAGGGGACCATGAATGCAAGATAGAAATGTATAGAAGGGGAAACACTAACTGTAAAGAAACTTGATACGGAACTGCTATATGATATACGATGGAACTTCTTGTCGCTATGTTGTTTTAAGTCATGTGTTTGTTTTTGTTGATGTGTTTATGTGTTTAAAATAAAAATTAAAAAAAATTAAAAAAAATGAAAAATGGAGAATCTATGTAGGTCAGAGATGAACTGCTGGATTATTGGGTTTCTCTTGAAGATGTTTCGTTACCAATCCAGGTAACAGGCTCAGCACTTTGACCCAAGGGAGTGAAGTTTGATGGCTTTTTAGGTGTGGTAGTGTGTCTGATCAGCCTTGATCAGGGCTGTTGCTTGCCTCTTTCTGATTGACTTACCTCGGTGGGTTGGTGGTTGGGTCATCTTTAATTAGCCTTGCCTAATGTGCTATAGGGACGCGGTGGCTCAGTGGCTAAGATGCTGAGCTTCTTGATCAGAAAGGTCGGCAGTTCAGTGGTTCGAATCCCTAGCGCCGCATAACAGAGTGAGCTCCCTTTACTTGTCCCAGCTTCTGCCAACCTAGCCATTCAAAAGCACGTTGAAAATGCAAGTAGAAAAATAGGAACCACCTTTGGTGGGAAGGTAACAGCGTTCCGTGCGCCTTCAGCATTTAGTCATGCCTGCCACATGACCACGGAGATGTCTTCGGACACCGCTGTGCACTGAATTGTGTCTTGAGATCCTTCATTGCGTGAGTAGTGAATGGACTGGGTGCACCATTGTGTCTCTGTTAGTAGATGGTGGATCAGAATGATGGGTTTTTAGGAATGTTATTGCTGCGATGGCACAGTGTTTAGAGTGCAGCACTGCAGGCTAATTTTGCTGACTGCCAGCTGCCTGGAAGTTAGGCAGTTTGAGTCTCACCAGCTCAAGGTCTTCCATCCTTCCGAGGTGGGTAAAATGAGGACCGAGATTGTTGGGGGCAATAGGCTGACTCTATAAACTGCTTAGAGAGAGCTGTAAAGCACCGTGAAGCAGTGTACGAGTTTAAATGCTATTGATATATTTGGATTTGGCTTGATCTAAAATGCATACAGTTTCCCCTATGAATTCAGTAGTCTGTATGTTGCAAACCTGAAGAATTGCCATTGTGTTTTCTGACCATCACTGATTTTTCTGGAAGACCTCTACTAAATGCCCTGCCTGTCTCAATCAAAGGAAATTCATAGTCCTTACGTTGCCATAAATAATTCTGCTTCTCTCTTCTATAGGTCTTGAATAAATTTGAGTTTACTTAAAATGCTTTGGAAGGATTTCCCTGGTTTGTGGGCTACCAAAATGCCTAGTGCTTAAAGTAATCTCCTGGTGGCTTCTGAGGTATTTTTTTTTTAGATTTCAGAGAATTATTATTTTCATGAGTTGTGATGGTTGTGTTCTGGCTGGCTGTGGAAACGATCTTTTCTATGAAGTTGTGTGGGTAGCCACTGTGTTGAAGGATGCTATAAAGAAGATCTGTTTCTTCTCTTTTAAGTTCTTTTCAGATGCTGAGTCTTTACCAGTGGTGGGTTTCAAATTTTTTTAGAACCTCTTCTGTAGGTGTGGCCTGCTTTGTGTGAGTGGCTTGTTGGCCATGTGACCTATTGGGAGTGGCTTGGCAGTCATGTGACTGGGTGGGCGTGGCCAACTCAACATCACTCACGTCGTTGGGTGCTTCTCCTTAGCTGTTACAATGGAATAAGGGTTAACCGGAGAGGCAGTTTCTGTAAGCAGGGCAATAAAGATGAGGCTAGAAACAACACCAGAATGTTTCCTTCCTGCCTTCCTTACAGGATTAGCCCTGTAAAGTAGGGGGAAAAAAACGAAAGGGGATTTCTTCCAACAACCGGTTCTCCGAACTGCTTAGAAAGTTACCAACCGGTTCTCCCCAAATAGGTGCGAACCGGCTGAAT